TTTGCGCTTGAAATTGAACAGCGCGCAACGATGGAAAGTTTCTTTTCGCAGAGAATCATCAAGCTTTTTCCACGTCGCAGCTCCTGGGCGGGAAATTGTTGCCAGCCTGGCTCGAAATCTGCCGATATTAACTCCTGAAGTTTCCTTGTTACCGCGTTTCTTATTTCATCTCTACGGGCTCGTCAGCTGCCGACGAGATTTATATCGCAGATTGTAAACAAGTTCACGAAAGTTAGTTCACGCCGCTGGACCAATATCGCTTACTGCAATTTCTCCTTTTTTTCCCTCGTCAACCTCCCACCTACCTTTTATTTGCGAAGAGTACAATGGTCCATTGGAAGTTTTGGTAGACGAAGGTGAAATTTGAGGGGGGGAGGAGTAATAATCTTCAAAAATTCATAACTCCTTTCAATAATGAACATTTTGGATTCAAACTTATTTTTATTATAGTTCACATAGAACTTTACAAAAAACATGTATTAGGTGTACAAATAAGTTCGGTGCCTTTACATATATTCAGCTGTAATTACATTTCAAATTGAAAATTGAACATTTGTTTCATTGAAATGTATATGTATGTTTTCCATTTTAGTATTTTTAACTTTCATACATACATCTTCATATTTTATTTTATTTTATTTTTTTTTTATTTTTTTTTATTTTTAATTTTAGTGATGCTTTGATAAGAAAAATAATATCTAGTTACTTGTTCCATTCAAATGTATATACTTTCCATTTTAGTATTTTCAACTTTTATATGTATTGAGAAATAATATCGACAGAAGCTAAACAACAGGTAGGCAGAAGACAGGTAATACTAAGTGGGAAATCTTCATTTTATCCGTTGAAAAATGTCTAGAAAGTCGTAGAAAAGTGATTAGACGAGGGGGCACCACTTTTAACATCTGTTGTATAACGCAATACTTGGAGCATCACTGGCAGCGATAAACGGGAAGCGAAGGGAGAACAAAGCACACAAACTCCATTCGAATGTCCGAGCCAGTTCAAGCAGCTCTGGAATATATTTGGATTGAATTATTCCCCCAGGGACCAGAGAGGTCCCTGGACGGCGTGCTTGTCCCTGCCAGGAAATCAGAATCGCGCACGCAACCTATCCCTCGACAGGGATTACAAAAAATAGACTCTCAATGGCGGTTCTTCATTGTCCGCTGCTTACGTTTCGAGAGGGTGCATAGCTTCTAAAAATTATTCCACGGTTTATCCATTAAGAACACATTTTAGTCCAAATATCTAAAAAAAGAGGCTTCTTTGGTAATTAAAAAAAGAAAAACTACAAATCGTACAATAACAAACGATTTTTTCATTTGACAATACAGTATCTTGAAAGGTAGAACAAAAATTTGTTGGTGTCATTTTATTATTGATATTTATAATATTTTGTCTGAACAATCAAATTTCATTCTTAATGTCCATTTACAGGGTGTCTACTAGAATTATTGGGAAAACAGTGAAAGTTATTAGAACATTGTTTTATACATTTTACGTTTTTATTATATTTATATTAAAATGTTTGATAAAATATAATAGTTTATTGTAATTCGACAATACTAGATTTAAATAATATCAGAACAGTTTTGCTGTAAAGAATTCTAAATAAATTCTTCCTGTTGCATTTTACTTCAACGATTATTTCTATCGTTTAAGTTGAAATAAAAATGTAACGAAGTAATATTAATTTCCGTTTTCAAATAACTTGAAACCAACGGTCCGAAATAAAATACCCTAAACAGTTATTTTTCATTTCCATTCGAATTAAAATTTGCCCACGCCTGGCACCATTTTCGTCCACGTCAAGATGCCTGTGCCTAAAACAATATCGAAACATTAATAGAAAAATTTATTTACACATTCTGTACTCATCCAGCCACTAACTAGTGAAACAAGTTAGATTAAATAGAGCTACGGTATATTTGCCACAAAATGAAATTTACGAAAATAAACTGTCGAAAACAAACTTACCCGGGTCGCGTCCATTAAATGAAAAGACGAAGTGATAAATTACAGCCGCGGTCTCCGCGACAGAACGAAAAGCTTGGTAAAAACATTAAAAGCGCACGAAACGGTTTTTTTTCCGCTCGAGGGTGTCCAGCATTACGGCTCGCTTTATACGGAAATGCTTTTACAATAAACCTCGTTACCATGCGCAACGCAACGATCGAACCTAAAACGTTCTGCTGAAGTTTATGCGCGCAGAAATTAATCGATTCCATATTCTGTAACGATGCAGGTTGACGTCAATTTTCGGAAATGTCTTTGACAGTCTGACGCAGCGGGGAAGTAATCCCATTGCGAGCTCAATTTGGCGGTTGTTTCGTTTGCTCCTTCACTCCTCGTTTTCTTCAAGAATGACTCTTCCATTTCGGCGCGCTGAGGGAGCTTTTTCGTTAATTTTTTTCTCAAGCACTGTTGCCGACAACTTTTTCAAATTTAGCAAATTTATTGATACGTAGTTTAAAAAGTCGGGTATTTTTTTCTATAAGGAAATATTATTCTGTTGAAGAAGTACGTAAGTACTGTAAATGTATGTAAATTGAAGTGCTTAGTAGAGAATGTAACACGTACTCCTGGTATCTCTGAGTTTTTAAACAAGTAATTCTTATTGGTAATTAAGTACATCGTATTGGTATTGTACATCTTGTATTATACGTTCTACGAGAATGCTAGAGCGACGATGAATATTTTCCAAAATGCTATTTATAAAACATGATCAATAGGAGCAGTGGCAATAGTTTTTTGCAAAAATCTCGGGAACTGAGGCCGAGCGGCGGTTATATTCAAAATGTTTATTTTTACAACATATTCACGAACCCTCGAAATCGACGAGATCGCCCTAAATAATTACTGAGGATTTAGTACAGTCACACGATTTACACTTTTACACTTTACACTTTACACTTTACACTTTATACTTTAAAAGTTCGCAGCCATTAGCTCGGTATTACTCGCAACGAAGCATTGTTCGTCACGAATAATACCGACTACCAGGTCTCACCACGTGGAGGTTGCTGCGACTGGAGACCCGGAGATAGAAGGAATCAAAGTTCCTTCGATCTCCCTCTACATAGAGTATACATACGTAGATGCATACTCTACATAGAGTCGACGAGCTTAATACTAAGTACGAAACCGTGGAAATCAAAGAAAACAAAGTCCTTTTGACTTCCAAAGTCTAAGTCTGACTCTGCCAAATAATTATTTGAATTAAATGGGTGAAGTTAAATTGAGATCGCGACGCGACGCGACCATGAAACTGGACTTACTGAGTCAGTCCCGTTTCCTCCTGTTGGATCTGGACTCGAGAGGAAGACGACCGACGCCTCCGAATCAGTCCACTATTCCCCGCACCCCGTTGGGAGCCACTATAGGACCCGACTTGCATCCGTCTCACTGCGCTTTGGACTTACTACACTGCGCCGGGAGCCTTGGACTACACTAAACGTGATGCAGGGAGTAGAGAACCGATCCGGAGGAGCCGATTGTCTTCCTCTCGAATACAGATCCACCAGGAGGACGGCAACCGACCTTTCTGTCCAGTTACACAGTTGGTCACTTCACCTATCACATGAAGTGATAGTGACCGAAGTGGAGAACGATGTTGCGAGTCTAATATGGACCTACGAATAAGCAAAAGAATTAAGCAAATGATTAATAATTGTTTGGTAGAGGACAGACACTCGTACACGCATGCCTTAAAACTAACTTAGATACATGCCTTAAAACTAACCAAACCAAACTAAGGTACCCACAAAGCAATACCAAGCGACGATAACTAAGGGAAACTACACTACGCAAAAATAGGAGGGAGGCGAGACGCGGACGCGCGATCGCGAGATCCATATCGACCGAATGATCGTCGAAGAATGAGCTCTCACCCCTCGTTTACCTGTGTCGCTCGAGGGTTGCGACTCGCGGCTCGGAACTCGTTATCGAAGAAGAGTGGGGCAAGGGCAAACAACAAACGTGACTGTTGATTTGAAGGCTCGTTGGATTCATCGAGGAAATATTTCGCGAAACATTAATATTACAGCAAAATCATATTCACGAACATTGTTTAAACAATATATATTATTAATAATTAATTTAACTATTGTCATAAATGAATATTTAGTTGGTCTAATCGATAGATATTAAACTATAGAAAAATATCTCACGATTACTTTTTCTCAACTTTTCATGTTCGGAAATATTACTTTCTCGAAAAACATTGGTATAATATTCTGAAACTTCAAAATGTATTAAATATCTACATCTCCGAATTAATTGAATATTTAGAATACATATAGTAACATTCAGTTTTCTATTAAATATTAATAAGAATCACGGTTTAGAATAAGTATTCATCGAACACAGTAGTCGTAAGGAATTTTTCTATATCTGTTATATCTGTTAGCTGGAATAACTAAAAATTAATTTGTGACAATAGTTACATTAATTATTAACAATATTTATTCTTTTTAGTACCGTATACTTTCCGTAAACTCTTATCATTTCATGTTTCATAACAAGCATTATTTTACAATGTTTAAAATTTAATAAGTTGCAATTAAAAGAAACAGAGGGTATGTAACTTATAAAGATGAAATTTGAGGTCTTCACAAATTTTTCTAATTTAAGACATCGTCACAACCAAATGGACATTCCTATACTCTCTGAATTCTTTTATTGTCGAACAATATAACGTTATTGGCTACGCTTGTGCTAACTTATAAAATGGGGTCCTTAAGAATTCTCTTAATTTGGTACAACTTCGTTTCAACTTGATAAAGAATACCTCGATATCAATCTCACCCCTTTATTCGAAACTTTACGTCAGTGTGCCTCACAACTCGTATTCTTGTGTGGGGATTAAAAGGGTTACCGTATCACGTTTCGCTGGAAACTCATTTCCACCCTTGCTATACCGTTTTCCCTTTCATTTTTTTTTCTCCCTCCTCCCGTTTCGGTGTCGTCCGTGAATTTATAGTTTATTCGTGTTACAGGTCCTCCGGGCGCGGAAGGAAAAAGGGGGAGGAGAGGGAAGAAGGGCGACCCAGGGAGTCCAGGCCCTCAGGTGAGTACATATTCGCTTTTACCCCAGCACAGCAATACTACCCCCTCCTCCCGTAGTGCACCCGACATGCCTGCACGTATAGTTTACGTATTTTAGAGTGCAGTTACGAGCATGATGTATTTGCCTCACGGTACACCGACGATCTCCTTGTAATACGTAACTAGCGACAGAAACACGTGCCACGCACGCGAGTAACTGTTTCTGATCGAACGCGCATCACCGATGGGACAACAAAGGAAACAGGCTCGTCGCATTCGTGTCAGATTTGCGAACGGTTTTTTGCAGCCAAGCTTGTCGAAACGAGCGCGATAATTCTTTTATTTTCTTCTTTTTTTTTTGTGCGCTTTCAAAGATGTTCGTCGCACTTTTTTATTGGAACAGTTTTCACCGTCGCGATGGGGAGTAAAAGAGTTGCGCCGATGCACACTGGTTGCCTAAATAGAGCCTTTCTTTGTGAGAATTAAAAGGCTCAATGGGATAGAGATATTTAAATCGACGTTGAAAAATATTTTTTGTGAAGGAGCATAGCGAAATTAAATTAATTAATGTGTTTTGTGTGTACATGTGCGCATGTGTGTGCAGGAGTGGCCATGGAAATTGCACCATTTATTAAATACAGTCCGATAATTTCGTTCCAGTAAATTATATTCCAGTAAATATAAGAGTTTATGTAAACACAAATAGAGATATTCATAATACGTTCCGTACGCTGTGTCGATGAAATGCCAGATCATTATCATTTTGTATTATTAGTTATAACTTCTTAATAAAACATTTAAGAGCATACGTTCATATAAGATTTTTTTCTTACTTTAGAGTGTAGAATACGCTGGCAAAGTTTGGCCGGAAAAAACTGGGACACCTTGTACGTATGTTTATTTGACGTATGTTATTTGACTTTTATGTTATTTGACGTCCCTGTTGTTGCAAATAAACGCAAATAAGACAGAAAGTACAAATATACATAAGAAACACTTTCCAGAGAAAGTGCGATTACGAAAACTTAACTTCATACATGAAGTCCTAATCTCCAATTCGGTCAAACACGATTGGAAAAGATAAACGATAGTAGTTAGGTGTCGAAGAACGTTAGGAATGCCAGTATATTAGTTCGCGATTAGTATCTGTATTGTGACACGTCGTTACTTTAACTCTGGAATGGCACACATCTGTATATCCATTTCACATACAAAGGAACGAATAGGAGCAGCACAGAATGCTAACGTCTTTATCGGAGAACGCCCATTCACATTATGACTGCGACTAATCATAGACTGGTACCGCCATTCTTACCCTTATCTGTTACTTAACTACCACTATTTATGTTGTGTTATCGAGAATTATCGTAACACCTGACTTTTCTGCTACAAAAATCTGAAAGTCTTAGTACATAAAATAAACCATTGTACATTGACTTATTTATTTTTCAAAATTGACATTTCCTTTTTATATGGAGCGCTTAGAAATATTTTATCAAACCAGAACATTATTAAATTTTTTCGCGCAATCTTTGCTTTCTTGAAGTTACTTACATTTATAAATAAGACACTTAGAAGTGTCTGATAATTTTAAGACAGTAATGCAACATATAATGTAATAGAATCAATAATATAAGCTCTTATAGTTTATAACACCTATAATATTGATGTGTGCAATTTTTATGGCTACCGTAATCACATCTCAATTTAGTATTCCTAGTTTTATATATATATATATATATATATATATATATATATATATATATATATATCTTCCTGACTCCGGTAATGCATCAGAAAGAATAAAATAAAAAGATACATACACATGTGTATAGCATCTAAGTACTTGTTTCATTCAACTAAGATCAGGACAATATCCCTTAATGTATATATTTTTCTATTTTAATAATTTCAACTTCTATACGTACATCTTCTTATTTTATTTCTAAATTTTAGTGATCCTTTAAAAAGAAAAAGATAAAGTGATACTACATACCATAGATTTTGTATCACTCGAATATCTGTACAGGATTCGAGTATTGAATTATTCTAATATGACTGTACTAATTAGTTCTAGGCCTAGCTTGGAACAGGCCTACGCGAACTGTCTTGTCCCATCGTTGATGTCTTCAACCGCGCTGAAATCGCGCCATAGACCCTTTGCGCTCGACATTTTCGCTAACTGTAAAGCAAACTATTGTGACAACTCTAGATATTTCGCAAATATTTGGTAAAGTTCTCCTAGCTAACACAAAATAATTTTGTATTCATTACACAATTAAAATTTCTAAAACATTGTATTCTAATATTCCATGTGTCTTCACATCGTAATACGTTGATCGTAAAATGTTGTTTCTATGCAGTCAGAAACCATATAATTCAACGTATATCGTATATTTTTGTAACTTCCCTAAACTCTGTAATCCTATTCAAAATTATTTTCTTTAACACCTCACTTTCGGAATTAATTATTTTATGTCATTAACCTCTCGAGGAATATTGACACATATGTGTATGTTAACTTTTATTATCAAAATCACCATTACTTACGATCGCAATACCTTGTAAAATTAAAATATATACAATATTCAAGTGAGATAGCATATTTGTATGTCAAAATCGGTTTGCAGATAAAAATTGCCTTGCTTCTGTGTACTCAATTAAAGCAAAAAAAAATCCATTTAGAATTCATCCCTCAAAAGATTAATGTCTATACACAAGGTGTTTACCAGAATTATGGGAAAACAATCGGTACTGTACATGTATTTGTTACTCAAATGAACTTCTTTTGAACTGGTTTCACTGTAGAAATATTCATAATAAATTTTCATACTGCTTCAAGCACCTGGAAATAACAAAGACTTTGGAAACAACATTTTGCCTCGTTTGTCGAATGTGAACAGGCACCCAAAATATTGTTGAGAGTCAAATTTTACATCAGTTTCAAAGGGCACCATTTACCCTCCTTCCTGCTAAAAAAAAATATATGTAAAGAGTTTAGAAATCAATTCATGGATTATTACTATCGTCATCTTGAGATCTAACGAAATCTAGCATAAACAGGGATTGTCGCTTCTCAGTCGCCACTCGAGTGAAGCTCAATAATGTCCGAGAGCCGCTTTTAGAGTGCAAAGGGTTAAAGATTCCATCGATAATCGTGCATACGTGTACGATGAACCGTCGCGAGAGCATTGTATTGGTTGGAGCAATTATCAACGCGAAACAATAATTGAATAATTATTGAATAATTGCTTTTGCATGCACGCGTGAATACCTAACCCACTTTCCGTGTAAATGAGTTTTTAATTTTTTATACCCCTTCTTACAGGGCGTGGCCGGGACGCCGGGCAAGAATGGTTTTCCGGTATATTATTTTTTATTTTCTGTCCAGTCCTTTGTCTCTCTATCTGTCTATTCTCTTTTTTCATCTCTATCACTGTACACTGCCCATTCACTCTCCCTCACAAACTCTTACATAACAACCACTAGATCGTATTTTGTATTAGAGCATTTCACGTAGACTCTTTTTTTGTGATCTCTCTCTCTCTCTCTCTCTCTCTCTCTCTCTCTCTCTCTCTCTCTC